CGATGGCATCAATTAACGATAAATCTGACTAGCGATACATTTTATCGCAAAAATTTTGCCTCGATTAGCGCTAAAAAACTCGACCAACACTATTCCTTCCGTCTGAGACGCGTCCACTTCTGGCCAGTGTTTACAAGCCAGCCAGCCACCGCAGTCGCTTCCAAGCATACAATCGGAACATTTCATATTATCACAGCCTTTTTAGTGATTGCACCTGCAAAATAAGTCACCATGGGCCCCAAGAAAGCTTCTAGTGCCAACCCTACAGCAAAAAGGGTGAGAATTACTATGGATATGAAGAAAGAGATCATTGCTAAGTTTGAAAGTGGAGTGCATGTCTCCGAGCTGGCCAGGCTGTACACAAAACCCCAATCAACCATCGCTACTATTGTGGCCAAGAAAATGGCAATCAAGGAAGCTGTTCTTGCCAAAGGTGCAACTATGTTTTTGAAACTGAGATCGCAAGTGATAAAAGATGTTGAGAGACTGTTACTGGTATGGATAAACGAAAAACAGATAGCAGGAGATAGCATCTCTCAAGCGATCATATGTGAAAAGGCTAGGAAGTTGCATGACGATTTAATTAGAAAAATGCCAGCAACTAGTGGTGATGTGAGTGAATTTAAGGCCAGCAAAGGTTGGTTTGAGAGATTTAAGAATCGTAATGGCATACATAGTGTGATAAGGCATGGTGAGGCTGCCAGTTTGGACCAAAAAGCAGCTGAAAAATATGTGCAGGAATTCAAGGAATACATAGACAGTGAAGGACTGAAACCTGAACAAGTGTTTTATGGTGACACTGGCAATGTTGTGAAACACGTTAGGAATGTCATAAAGGAACGGGAGGTACAGGCCTCTATGGGCAGATATGTTGTGCGACAGAGGTCCAGTGACTCTCAAGCTGGTCCTAGTGGCATTAAAAGAAGGGAAGTAACCCCGAAAAAGGACTTGCCACCTCAAGTCCTAATGGAAGGGGATTCCCCTTCTAAATACCAAGACCATCAACACACTCCCCTCTTCCCATCCCATCAATCATCACCAGATCTTCAATAAAGGTAAGTGTCATGTAACTGTGCATGTCTTCTTCAGTTTGTGTGTATTAAAATTAATATTTCATGTGTTAAAATTTTTTTTTTCAATACTTTTGGGTGTCTTGCACGGATTAATTTGATTTCCATTATTTCTTATGGGGAAAATTAACTTGACTAACGATTATTTTGACTAACGATGAGCTCTCAGGAACGGATTAATAGCGTTAGTCGAGGGTCCACTGTATTTTGAACTTTGTGTTAAATTGGCCAAATTAACAATTTCCGAACACTTTAATTTGTAGTTGAAACAGTTGACTTGGCGATTTCTTGTGCTCTATCAATAGAATAGAAGTAATACTAGTGAAATAGCTAAGAATTTGGTTGATTGGAATAATGTAATTGGCCTAAAATGGGAGTCAAAGTCGGCAAAATCGCCGATTCGTAAATATCACTGACACATCAAAATTCGCGAGAGCATAATTTCGTCAATTTTCCATCAAATTTCGTACTTTTTGTTTTATTACCTTCACAAAAAGATTCCTACCATTTCATAAGAAAAAATAACAAATTTTTTTTTTTTTAAATTCTTGGACACTGGGGCACCACTTCAGATTTGGGCCTTGGACCCTGAAGGGGTTAAGTAGCCTACCTCCTATACCATACACCTGCAACATCTGCCACATTGCCCCCTATCCACCCTGTCATATGCCTTTTCTAAATCCATAAATGCCACAAAAATCTCTTTTCCCTTATCTAAATACTGTTCACCTATGTTTCACTGTAAACACTTGGTCTACACACCCCCTACCTTTCCTACAGCCTTCCTGTTCATCTGCTATCCTACTCTCTGTCTTACTCTTAATTCTTTCAATAATAACTCTACCATACACTTTACCAGGTATACTCAACAGACTTATTCTCCTATAATTTTTGCATTCTCTTTTACCCCCTTTGCCTTTATACAAAGGAATTATGCATGCTCTCTGCCAATCTCCCATACATTTATTAAATAATAGCACTAACCACTCCAAAACTATATCCCCTCCTGCTTTTAACATTTCTATCTTTATCCCATCAATCCCAGCTGCCTTACCCCCTTTCATTCTACCCACTGCCACACGAACTTCCCCCACATTCACAACTGGCTCTTCCTCACTCCTACAAGATGTTATTCCTCCTTGCCCTATACACGAAATCACAGCTTCCCTATCATCAACATTTAACAATTCCTCAAAATATTCTCTCCATCTTCCCAATACCTCTAACTCTTCATTTAATAACTCTTCTCTCCTATTTTTAACTGTCAAATCCACTTTCTAAGTGTAATAGGATTAAAATAAAAAAAATTAGGGGCAGTACTTACTGAGATATGAGGCTGCAAAGTTGGCACTTAACCCTTTCAGGGTCCAAGGCCCAAATCTGAAGTGGTGCCCCAGTGTCCAAGAATTCTCCAAAAAAAAAATTTGTTATTTTTTCTTATGAAATGGTAGAGAATCTTTTTGCGAAGGTAATAAAACAAAAAGTACGAAATTTGATGGAAAATTGACGAAATTATGCTCTCGTGAATTTTGATGTGTCAGCGATATTTACGAATCGGCGATTTTGCCGACTTTGACTTCCATTTTAGGCCAATTACATCATTCCAGTCGACCAAATTCTTAGCTATTTTACTAGTACTACTTCTATTCTATCGATTGAGCACAAGAAATCGCCAAGTCAACTGTTTCAACTACAAAATAAAGTGATTGGAAATTGGTAATTTGGCCAATTTAACACAAAGTTCAAAATATTCCAATTTCAAAATAGCATCCAGAATAAACAATGTAGGCATTCCTGGCACTAAACTAACATTTCCTCGGTTCATTAGTTACGTTTTGAGGCTTTACAAATAAAACCCATTTTTATTTTTTATTTACATAATGAATTTTTATTCACACCAAAAAATAGAAGATTTACTGTTATGCAGTATTGTAATAATTGTATAAATATCATCACCACATTTGTGAACGTGTATTAGATCCACCAGCTGGCGTGTATTAGACGTGTGAGGTCGTTTGTTTACTCTTGAACATCGACAAAAATTTAACATTTCCACTACTTTGAGCTCAGTTTCAAGCCATTTCCGGTGCTAAAACCAATCAAAATCATCTCTATTTCTGTAATATGTCTTCCATTCTATCAAATGAGACCAAGAAATTGCAAATACAACTATAAAAAACATACGAAAAAACACTGCAAAGTTGCTGTTTTAATCGAAAATCTTGGTTTCAGTTTTTTCTCTCTCATTATACACAGTGTGCTGCAGGATTTGTTTTATGTGGTGCACACATACCACATAGATGTATTCTCTCATATCTAGGCCCAAGTGTACCACTCACAGTTTATCAGAGTGAGCTGAGCTCATGACGTAGATCTACGGTTTGGACACTGAACGCAAAGCCGTAGATCTACGGGACAGACCCTGAAAGGGTTAATGCTCACCTGATGGCAACATCGAGTCCTGCCGCTTGAGGAAGTGTTGCCGATATACCATTTTTTCTCATTTTTATATTTTATATAATTTTTATGTTCTGATAATTACAATTTATTGTATTTATTGTCATTTCATAACCTATCTTTGTTCTGACACTAATATTAGGTACTGAAATTGTAGTTAAATTGTCACAAACACAATGACAGGTGGACATTTACACCTGCCTTGGTCATTTACTATTGTCTAATAATATATACAAAGTATCTATAGGTCCCAGCAATGTTTTGGATACACAGGAGTATAGAAGAAGAAGAAGGAAGGAGGAGGAGGAGGAAGAAGGAAGAAACTCCCTTGAAGCAATTTGACAAGCATCCGGGAGGGCAGTGATGAGATATGGGATGACATTTGATGGGCGCCAGCGAAGGTGCAGAGATGAGATAGTGCAGAGATAAGAGGAGATAAGCTATGACATTTGATGGGTGCCAGCGAGGGTGCAGAGACATTTGATGAGCTCATATCTCTGTCTCTGATTATCTGTCTCTCTGTCTTGTCTCTCTCTCTGCTTGTCTCTTTCCGTCTCTCTGCTTGTCTGTCTCAGAGAGCCACTGTGAACCAACAGGTATTCATATGCATTATATCTACGAGCACAGTATAGCACTTTGGATTTTTTAGGTTATTCTAGGTAATTTACACTATGTATAATTGTATTTGTGTGTACCTGTGAGACAGATAAAAAGAGATAGAGAGACAGATAGACAGAGACAGACAGAGACAAATAGATACAAATGGACAGAGACAAACAGAGATAGACAGACCCTAAACTTGGGGTTAACATCACTTTCCTCTTAAAAGGGGAGTGTTAATATGACATTACATCAGTGAAACCTTGGTGTTTGCTGCACTGTTTACTTGAGCTGGCGCTCAATTTAACTGACGCTCCCACAAGGTACTAAGTGATCCCAGCTGGTGCACACCGAGTGTTAAGACCCATTCTATGCTGACCAGGCATCTCAGGCCAATTGTGCCAAATTTGCAGGCAGGAAAAATAAAATGTATACATATATACGTTTGGGGCGCTAGCGGTAAGAAAGCATATATACGTTTGGACCGTTTAGGGGTTAAATAGGAAAAGAGGAAAAATTTATGACTCGACAATTTTAAACAAACCACAAGCCATCTCATGCAATACACTGTGATTCACATCAATGGTTCCATAAAATCTAATAAAGCAACACTACAACAGGAACATTCTGATAAATTTGAAGAAACTTGTGTATTGTATATACACTGAATGCATACATCTCTTGGTGTATAACAGCTAACAATTTATTTTAATCTCTGTTTTAAGGATAAAAGTATCATTGACATATGATGTCCAGAATGCATGCAACCTTAATGAATCATGTACTGTACCTGATAGGCTCTAAGCTAAATAAGCCAACCAACTCTATCAGAGTATAGCTTCATGAAAGAAACAAACAATTACATGTACATACCCATCAACAAAAATATTGTCAGTAAAATTGCCTCTAGCAACCCAGTTTTTGGCCAATCCATCATGAAGACTGTAAAGTGCACCATCAAAGGTGACACTAATAATGGATGCTGTAGTAGATTTCAGTAGGAGTCCCAACATCAACTGTAAACTGCTTAGAGCCACCATTGCCATGGAAGCTGGGGTTCCTAGACAGATTGCAGATATTATAAAATACAGTGGGGTGTGAGAAGCAAATTATGACAGTTTATCATATGTGCTTGAAGGTGAGGAGTGTAAGAGAGATTTTGAGGTGTTAAGTGAATATGTAGGGAGTTCTGAATCAAGTAAGATTGTTTTGAAAGACCTTTAAAAGGTCCTTTTTTGGGGACACCTAATAAATAATAATAATAATAATAATAATAATAATAATAATAATAATAATAATAATAATAATACAATATCATAATAAATAGTAAACAGAAAGCTGACAATCAACCATGTTTACAAATGGTCACTAAAGTGTATAATGTATTTGCAAGCTGAGCTCAACCACTACTTATGTCTTAGCATACTAGCATGGTATCCACACAAAGGCAAAAATAGTTATTAGTTGTTCAAATTATCTGAAGATATATTAATCACATTCTTTTTATGAGAAGATTGTACCAACATATGCCTGCCCAATCAGTGGACAGCATTCAGAACTCAGTAGTGAAGTTTAGACAAAACACTAATGGCCACTGTATCTTCCACTTCTTGAAGGAAATATCACCTGCCATTACCCCCTTCACTGTGAATACTGCTATAGAATAATTAATATATTAGAACATGTTTTATGTATGATTGGTTAGGCTGGGCTGAGCTTGGTAATCTAACCAAGCCTAACAAAAAAATATTTTTGGACAATATGTATGCACAAATTGAAACTGTTGCAATACCCACTTATTATTGTGCACATTAAAGTACAGGTTATCACCAAACTCAGCCAATCAGCTATATTCCATACTGACCAATAATTTGCTAACATCCATAATCATGAACACTTAGGTGGCTAGGCATCAACCACCTTTAAAAAACCAATATGACAGGCATGTTGGTTAGTGTGCCATGACATAAAATAGTACAGAGTACTTAATAAATGCACTTGCAAAAATGGAGTGTTTTTGTATTAAAATAATTTCCTGTATGTATTAAGAGGAGTCAAACATGGTAACAGTGTCATATATGATATTATAATCAGGGGAAGCACTAAACTCATAGGGGTCATACTGTGCCTGGAATGCAAGGTAATAAGGTTTAATCTGAGGAGGGAGTAGCTAATTCCTTGAAACAAGTGGTATATGTATATATAAGACTTCTACTTGGTGGATTTCACCCATTACTTACAGTTTGAACTGTACAATACAGCTTCTCCTCACTTAACGATGGAGTTCCGTTCCTAAGACCATGTCAGTAAACAAATTTGTCGTTAAGCGAGGAGCATACTATAAGGGTAGTGGACTTGTGTCAACCATCTTTGATACTGTTTTAATGTCACCTTTGCACCATTTATAATATTTTTAGTATATTTTTAACTGTTTATACAGTAATGTGCTGTATATTGTAATAAACAGAGAGGAAATCAGCTCTAATACACATTATTTAGGTATGCATATTGGTCAGAGAGCCCGTCGTAAGTCCAAGTTGTCAGTAAACGAGTATTTCGCTAAGTGAGGAGAGGCTATATAAAGAATACAACGGGTAAAAAAGTTAACTAAACATAACAAAACCCACCTAACCAAAGATAACCCAGTGCAGGATTTACCTACAAGCTTAGCAGACTGAAGCCTAGGGCCTCAAAATCCAGCAGGCTCCAGCCAAGATGTATATGTTTGACATTGTCATAGTCTTTCTTACACAAGCTGTCATAATGCACTGTACTCAAAACAACCCTTCAGTAATGTTCCTTGCACTTCATTTCAGAATAATACTGTCTTAGGCCAATAACTTGACACTAGCACTGATTTTGTCCTTCCAGGAAAGCAATGAGATAGATAAATTGACTGAGGATCTCAGTCATTTATACTCTGATGTTGATACCAGGCTTCAAGCTAACACTCTTTTGCAGAAAATGGAAGAACTAGAAATTGTGTTTATGCTACATTTTTGGACCCATGTGCTACACATTTTCACAAGGTCAGCAAAGCCACTCAGAAATCAGAATTGATACTGAGTACTTGTGCATGTTTGTACAGTTCACTTCAGGATTTTTAAAGCCAAATTAGAGTAGATTTTGATGAGCTTGAGCAACAAGCAAAAGTCACCTTGCCAAATGTTAACTACAGAACTGTCAGAAGGAGGCAGAGTAAGGAAATGGCAAGAAAATGACAGAAGTGCACCTGGTCCTGATGCCTTTGATGAACTCTCTTCAAGAGATAAGTTTAGGATAAAATCCTTCATTCGTATCATTAGATGCACTTGAAGCCAATAACTTGTATTGTGTACAGAGATGTTGCACAATTTGTATTTGTTTATGTATTTCTTGCTACTCTTGGCAGCATCTAAGAGATTCAGTAAGGTGTTGAACTGTAAATGGAGGCATACCCACAAGATGTTGAACTGAAACTTACTGATGAACTTTTGCACTTTCACTTGTACGTGAGACAAAGCCATAAGCCTACAGCAGAGCAGTCGCTGTCTCATACAGACCTTTATCAAATTATTTTTTTTATTATTAACACATCAACCAATTCCCACCAAGGCAGGGTGGCCCAAAAAAGAAAAACTTTCATCATCATTCACTCCATCACTGTCTTGCCAGAGGGGTGCTTTACACTACAGTTATAAAACTGCAACACACACACCCCTCCTTCAGAGTGTAGACACTGTACTTCCCATCTCCAAGACTCAAGTCTGGCCTGCCGGTTTCCCTGAATCAAATTATATACAAGTAAAAAATTCAGATAGCTTTCCCTAATGTGGAAGCAATCTTATGGCTATTTCTTAGCTTAATGGTCACTAACTCTCGAGCCTCAAAATAATTAAAAAAGAATTAAGGGCCACAATGTCTCAAAACAGGTTACCTGCACTGAGCATTCTGTACAGTGAAAGTGACAAACTTAGACAAACAGATTTTGATGAACTTTTCGATGATTTTGTTGAGGAAGGCTATAAAAAAAAAAGTCAATGTACGTATTTGATGGTTATAGTTTCTTTATTTCTTAATATGTATTTTAAAATAATACACATATTTTAAAGAATATAACAGTAAACTTGCAATTTCATTTTCCTAAAAATTCTTGCTTATTCTACAAAACATTGACAAGGCTCAGTTACTGAAAAAGTTTTCACAGTTAATTTTAACATTTAAGCTTTTTTTTCAATTACTCCGGTATTTAAAAATAACATCTTATGTCTTTTAGAGGAGGAATTGTGAATTGCAGAATTTAAACACCCATCATCAATCTTGGCTTCACTGAATTTTAAAACACTTCCATTTTCCTCTAGTCGTGAGGGTGGAGATTAGGAGGGGCCTCACAAATGGAATAGCCTAGGGCCTCTCTTCATCTAAATCTGGCACTGACCTAACCTATACCATTAGTCTTTGTTTATGCTAGGCCAGGCAAATAACATGCCTTTACCAAGTACTGATTAGCTCAGAGGTGCAGTGCAATCAAAATAAATGTAACTTAAGACAAAATTAGATAAGATTTGTTCATTTTTCATTTAACCCAGAGGGTTTGCCACCAGGATAACCCAAGAAAGTCAGCGAGTCATCGAGGACTATCCATCTTATTTCCATTGGGGTCCTTCAATCTTGTCCCTAGGATGTGGGATGTGACCCACAACACTCAAATAACACCCAGATACCTACTTACTGCTAGGTGAACAGGGACAGTAGGTATAAGGAAACACACCCAACGTTTCCACCCATGGAAGGGATTGAGCCACAGACACACACTATGTGAGATAAGAGCACTGCCAACCAAAATAAGAATTTCCACAAGAAATATTCACTTATATTGTGGTATAAAATGTAAACTAATGCTTGAGGTCAACCAAGTTGTATTTACAAACCTTAGTCAAAGAAACCTGGTTGATTGTGGACCTGAGGCTCAGTTGATAACATGCTCAGCTCACATACTGGATGTCAGGAGGTTCAATCCCAGGCATGGGTGGAATCGTTGGGCATATTTCCTTACACCTGTTGCCCCTGTTCACGTAGTAGTAAGTACCTGGGTCTTAGATGACTGCTGTGGGTTGCATCCTAGGGGACCCCAATGGAAATAAGACAGTTCCTGATGATGCACTGACTTTATTGGGTTAACCTGAGTGGCTAACACTCGGAGTTAAAAACCTAAACAAAATATTATAAGAACATAAGAAAGGAGGATCACTGCAGCAGGCCTGTTGGCCCATACTAGGCAGGTCCTTTACAATCCATCCCACTAACAAAACATTTGTCCAACCTAATTTTCAATGCTACCCAAGAAATAAGCTCTGATAACTCTATCCACTCAAATCCAACCCCTCTCACTCATATATTTATCCAACCTAAATTTGAAACTACCCAAAGTCCTAGCCTCAATAACCCAACTAGGTAGACTGTTCCACTCATCAACTACCCTATTTCCAAACCAATACTTTCCTATGTCCTTTCTAAATCTAAACTTGTCTAATTTAAATCCATTACTGCAGGTTCTCTCTTGGAGAGATATCCTCAAGACCTTATTTATATCCCCTTTATTAATACCCATCTTCCACTTATACACTTCGATCATGTCTCCCCTTTTATCCACCTGTTCCCTAGGCTTCCTCAACTTGTTAATCTCACTCCAAAACTTTTTTTTATTTCCAACAAAATTTGTTGATAACATCTCACCTACTCTCTCATTTGCTCTCTTTTTACATTGCTTCACCACTCTCTTAACCTCTCTTTTTCTCTCCATATACTCTTCCCTCCTTGCATCACTTCTGCTTTGTAAAAACCTCTTATATGCTAACTTTTTCTCTCTTACTTACATCATCGTTCCACCAATCGCTCTTCTTCCCTCCCATAGACATAGACATAGACAGGACTCGCAACAATGACTTTAAATTGGAAAAATTCAGATTCAGGAAGGATATAGGAAAGCACTGGTTTGGTAATAGAGTTGTGGATGAGTGGAACAAACTCTCGAGTACCATCATAGACAAACTCCCGAGCATCAACACCTTATGGGGGGGGGGGTTACTTTATGGTAGTAATGAAAGCTTTTGATCCTAGGAGCTGGACTTTGCCTTCCCTTCCTTGCATCTTGCTTAACTGCATCATATTCCCCAGGCACTGTATGACCTTGGGGCGAGTATAACACCGAGCACGTCTCCGGAGGAACACATCAACCAGATAACTGCTGCAGCATATGGGCGCCTGGCAAATCTGAGAATAGCGTTCTGATACCGTAGTAAGGAATCGTTCAAGACACTGTACACCGTGTACGTCAGGCCCATACTGGAGTATGCAGCACCTGTTTGGAACCCACACTTGATCAAGCACGTCAAGAAATTAGAGAAAGTGCAAAGGTTTGCGACAAGGTTAGTTCCAGAGCTAAGGGGAATGTCCTATGAAGAAAGATTGAGGGAAATCGGCCTGACGACACTGGAGGACAGGAGGGTTAGGAGAGACATAATAACACAAAATACTGTGTGGAATAAACAAAGTGGACAGAGACAGGATGTTCCAGAGATGGGGCACAGAAACAAGGGGTCACAATTGGAAGTTGAAGACCCAGATGAGTCAAAGGGATGTTAGGAAGTATTTCTTCAGTAACAGAGTAGTCAGGAAGTGGAATAGCCTAGCAAGTGAGGTAGTGGAGGCAGAACCCATACACAGCTTTAAGAGAGAGGACCCAGTAGCACTCAGTGAAGAGTGGGGGCCAGGAGCTGAGTCTGGACCCCTGCAACTACAATTAGGCAAGTACCTCTACAGGTTTAGCGCTTCTTCCTGAATATGTCAACAGCACACAGCATTTCTCCTGAAGAAAATATTGATATTTCTCGTAAGTTTAGTAAGGTAAGTAATTTACATATATGTTACCATGTATGATAATTGTACCTAATGTGCACCTGTACCTCAATAAACTTACTAACATCTCACTTTACTGATAAAACCAGAGAATTTTCAATATAATTTATTGGGATTGAAAAAAGTCACTGGTTGGCGAATATTCTCGTTATTATTACAGTCACTGGGGAGCGCTAAACCCGTGGGGGTCATACAGTGCCTAGGAAAGCAATCCAGATTTGATCCATGGAAGAATTTCTATTGGGCTCCAAGGACCCCAATGGAAATAAGTCACTTTGTCTGACATTTTTTGGGTTATCCTAGGTAATTTCCACATATGTTACTATGTATGATAATTTGTGTAATTGTATTTAAGTATACCTGTACGGAAATAAGTATATACTTGTCCGTCCCCGGCTTTCAGGAACCTCCCTCCAGGTTCAACAACTGTCAAAGCTACTCAAGTGTTGCACGTTTGTTAATATTATGCAACATGTCAGTATTGCAAACTATTAATGTAATTATATATATATATATATAACGTATGATTTCTGCATCTGCAGTGTTTTAGGAAAACACTGGAAGCCACTAGGAACAAGTTATATTAATTTTATTGGTTATCCTAGGTTAAAATTAGCATAAAAACCACAAAACCCGTTTGTTCTGTAGCCCATTGTTAAAATTTGTTTGTAAAACATAAACAACTTACTATGAGTATTATGTAAGTGATTGTGGGTGAACCCGAGTGTTTCTCGAGCACCAGCTGGAGGACCACTAGTGAGTCATGACGTCACTATCATGTATCACGTGTCTTATTCTACTACAACAGTCTACTACACTCAGGACGTGGGTAATGGGGTGCATAATAAACATATTAAACTAACTACTACACTAATATGAAACTTATCAGAAGGCCAGTGTTTATAAAGACAACTTTACCGTGCCATATCCGGTTTTTTTTAGCAGATATAAAAAAAAGGTTCAATTTTTTAATGAAAACTTCACATCTCAACATGACTCATACACGTCCTTCCTCGACACTAGTATTGTATACCATACCTGGAGGGGGGTTCGGGGGTCAACGCCCCCTTGGCCTAGTCCTTGACCAGCCCTCGCGGTAGATCAGGACCTGATTAACCGGGCTGTTACTGCTGGTCGCACATAAACCTACGTACGAACCACAGCCCGGCTGGTCATGAACTGACTTAAAGTGCCTGTCAAGCTCCTTGAAGACAGCCAGGAGTCTGTAGGTAATCCTGATTTATGCTTGGAGACACTTGAAAAGCCCTGGGCTCCTGACACTTACTGTATTATCTCTTGGCGTACTCATAGCGCCCCTGTTTTTCATTGGGGTAATGTTGCACTGCCTGTCAAGTCCCTGACTAGGGATTAGTCCCTCTAGGATTTTCCAAATAAATATTATGTATCTTTCTCGCCTGTATTCCAGGGAGTACAAATCAAGGAACTTAAGCCATTCTCAGTAATTTAGGTGCTTTATTTTACTTATACGTGTGATGAAAGTTCTCTGTATACTTTCAAGGTATGCATTTCGCCTGCCTTGAAAGGGGCCGTTAGTGTACAGGAATATTCCAGCCCAGAGAGACCAAGCGATTTGAAGGAATCATCATGGGCTTGGCATCTCTAGTTTTGAAAGTTCTCATTATCCATCCTATCATTTTCCTAGCAGATGTGGTAGAGACATTGTTGTGATCTTTGCAAGTGAGATTCTCTGACATTATCACTCCCAGGTCCTCCATATTAGTTTTTCGTTCTATTGTGTGGTTGGAATTTGTTTTATACTCCAATCCAGTTTTTATTTCCTCGAGTTTTCCATAGCGGAGTAATAGAAATTTGTTTTCATTAAACTTCATATTGTTTTCTGATGCCCATTTAAAGTATTGGTTGATGTCCGCTTAGAGATTCGTAGTGTCTTCGATGAATGACACTGTCATGCAAGTTCACATATCATTAGCAAAGGAGGACATGACGCTGTGGTTTACAACTTTGTCTATATCAGATAAGATGAGGTAAAGGATGGGAGCGAGTACTGTACCTTGTGGAACAGAGCTTTTCACTGTAGCCTCCTCTGACTACTATTTACTATTACTCTGTGTTCTGTTTGTTAGGAAGTTATAAGATTTATCTACCTACTTTTCCTGTTATTCCTTTATCACGTACTTTGTGTGCTATTACGCACTTGTCGAAGGCTTTCGCAAAGTCTGTGTATACTGTTCCTGCATTTCGTTTGACCTCCATTGCATCCATGACCATGTCATAGTGATCCAGTAGTCGCCTGAGGTAGTAGCGAACTGTTCTAAACCCATGCTACCCTGAGTTGTGCAGCTGATGGGTATCTAAGTGGGCAGTAATCTTCTTAGAACCCTTTCAAAGACTTTTATGATGTGGGGACGTTAGTGCTATCTGTCTGTAATTCTTTGCAAAATTGGGTCAGGGGTTGGGGGGGACTTTCTGACGTGTTCAGGGGCCAGGATGGTTTTTGAATGCTAGTAGTAGTACGGCTCTACATATGTATTATGGGCCTTATGTACGGTATCAGATTTTTTATTGTTTTATTCTCTGTTTCCCTGTGAGGTTGATACTCCAGGATACCTCCGGATGCAACATCCCAGCAGTTCCAGGAACAGCTGTTAAAAATTGACCACTTTCTGGAAAATCTGCCAGCTCCTGCACCCAACATCTTGCTCCTGGGGGATTTCAACTTAAGGCACCTAAAATGGAGGAAAATAGCAAATAATATTGTTGCAGTAATAACACCAGGAGGCAGCTCTGATGAAAACTCACACACGAGCTTTTAAATCTCTGCACAAAATTCAATTTAAACCAGCAAATAATAGAGCCTACTAGACTGGAGAATACACTAGACCTCATCTTCACTAACAATGATGATCTGATACGAAATGTCACCATATCAAAAACAATATACTCAGATCACAACATATTGGGTTCAAAACATGTATGCGCGGAGCCCCAGACTGACATAATGAGATTAGTCATGAGGGAGCATTCACCAAATTCAACTTCAATAACAAAAACATAAAGTGGGACCAAGTAAACCAAGTCCTTACTGATATAAGCTGGGAAGATATACTAAGCAACACAGACCCCAACTTATGCCTAGAACAGATTAACTCGGTGGCACTCGATGTATGCACAAGGCTTATTCCTCTAAGAAAAAGGAGGAGTAGATGTAAAATAGAAAGAACAGGCGCTCCCTTTACAGGCGACGGAAAAGAATAACAGAGCGGCTAAAAGAGGTCAATATATCTGAAATGCGTAGGGGGGACACTGGTCAGAGAAATAGCAAGCATCGAATTTAAAAGCAAAGGAATCTTATAGGAGTCGGGAAAATCACGGGAAGAAATAAAAGCCATAAATGAAATCGAAAGAAACCCAGAGTATTTCTTCTCCTATGCCAATCAAGTCGAGAACAACGTCCAGTATTGGGTCCCTACTTAAACAAGATGGGTCCTACACAGATGACAGCAAGGAAATGAGTGAGCTACTCAAGTCCCAATATGACTCAGTTTTTAGCAAGCCGCTAACCAGACTGAGAGTCGAAGATCAAAATGAATTTTTTTATGAGAGAGCCACAGAATTTGGTTAACACAAGCCTATCTGATGTTATCCTGACGCCCCAAAAGACTTCGAACAGGGATAAATGACATGCCCATGCACTCTGCCCCAGGGCCAGACCATGGAACTCCGTGTTCAACAAGAACTGCAAGAAGCCCCTATCACGAGCTTTTACCTCCTATGGAGAGGGAGCATGGACACGGGGGTCGTACCACAGTTACTAAAAACGACAGACATAGCCCCACTCCACAAAGGGGGCAGTAAAGCAACAGCAAAGAACTACAGACCGATAGCACTAACATCCATATCATAAAATCTTTGAAAGGGTCCTAAGAAGCAAGAACACCCACCCATCTAGAAACCCATCAATTTTCACAACCCAGGGGAACATGGGTTTAGAACAGGTCGCTCCTGTCTGTCCCCAACTATTGGATCACTACGACAAGGTCCCTAGATGCACTAGAAGACAAAAAGAATGCAGATGTAAAAAAATACAGACATTGCAAAAGCCTTCGACAAGTGTGACCTGGCGTAATAGCGCACAAAATGCTGCTAAAGGAAAAAACAGGAAAATTTGGTCGATGGAATCTATAATTTCCTCACTAACAGAACACAGAGTAATAGTCAACAGAGTAAAGTCCGAGACAGCTACGGTGGGAAAAACTCTGTTCCCAAAGCACAGTACTCGCTCCCAAACTTGTTCCTCATCCTCATATCTGACATAGACAAGGATGTCAGCCACAGCACCGTGTCTTTCTTTGCAGATGACACCCGAATCTGCATGACAGTGTCTTCCATTGCAGACACTGCAAGGGTCCCCGGCGGACATCAACCAAATCTTTCAGTGGGCTGCAGAAAACAATATGAAGTTCAACGATGAGAAATTTCAATTAGATATGGTAAACACGAGGAAATTAAATCTTCATCAGAGTACAAAACAAATTCTGGCCACAAAATAGAGCGAAACACCAACGTCAAAGACCTGGGAGTGATTATGTCGGAGGATCTCACCTTCAAGGGACCAAACATTGTATCAATCGCATCTGCTAGAAAAATGACAGGATGGATAATGAGAACCTTCAAAACTAGGGAGGCCAAGCCCATGATACAAATCTTCAGGTCACTTGTTCTATCTAGGCTGGAATATTGCTGCACTTAACAGCACCTTTCAAGGCAGGTGAAATTGCCGACCTAGAAAAAAGTACAGAGAACTTTCACGGCGCGCATAACGGAGATAAAACACCTCAATTACTGGGAAACGCTTGAGGTTTCTAAACCGTATTTCCTGGAACGCAGAGGGAGAGATACAAGATTATATACACCTGGGAAAATCCTAGAGGGACTAGTACCGAACTTGCACACGAAAATCACTCACTACGAAAGCAAAAGACTTGGCAGACGATGCACCATCCCCCCAATGAAAAGCAGGGGTGTCACTAGCACGTTAAGAGACCATACAATAAGTGTCAGGGGCCCGAGACTGTTCAACTGCCTCCCAGCACACATAAGGGGGATTACCAACAGACCCCTGGCAGTCTTCAAGCTGGCACTGGACAAGCACCTAAAGTCAGTTCCTGATCAACCGGGCTGTGGCTCGTACGTTGGTTTGCGTGCAGCCAGCAGCAACAGCCTGGTTGATCAGGGGCTGATCCACCAGGAGGCCTGGTCACAGACCGGGCCGCGGGGGCGTTGACCCCCGAAACTCTCTCCAGGTAAACTCCAGGACCTGTTTTCATGTAAACGATGGTACATACTGATGTAATGTGTTCTCATGTGCAAATGTTGTAAGACATGTGCAACTAGTGTACTGTAGCTTTGGGTTATGTTTTAGGATCTTTGGTGTTGTGTTAAATACTGTATATTTTCCGGAAATACGGTAATTTATAGGTAAACAGATGCCCTATATTGTATTTAATAAAAGTGTATTTTTAAAAAAGAGGACAGTCGCCATTTTGTTTGAATGGGAGTAACAAACGTTGTGTATAATGGGAAGAATTTTTTTGTGCTCTAGAGGTTAAAATTGGGCTGACACCTCTCAAATAGGAGGCGAAATTGTTGGATGTGCATTCCTGCATAACTTGAGATATCAGACGACTGGACAAGACAGCTCCAGGAACCTCAGATAAGTCTTATGTAGTAACCTGGCCAGTGTTATTTTCATAGATAGACAGTGAGGTTTTCTGAGTAA